CCCTTATATTTTCAAACTGAGGCAGTTTTCCATTTATGACTCCACCTCGCGTGATTTCTCTTGTTTGAGCAATGTGAAAAAGAGAACTTTTTTGCACAAACTCACACCATCACAATTCCCCTTCAACATTTCAATTTACTTTTTCACCCATTTCATTGGTTGCTCTAATTTTGACGATACTCTCCTACGAGACTATTTAATTGTCATAAGAATGGCCAATGCACCATACCTTTAAACACCCATTTCCCTAGATTTTTTTTTTCAAATGAGCATGTGAATTTGACAATGCTGCAAGAGAAAATATTAATTCTATAATACTTCAATCACTGCATTGGGCTTCATGATTTGCAACATCCCCCACTTTCATTCTTTAAGATAAGAAAAATGTTGGTTAATTGAATCAAGAAATGATGGACTTGCATGAATTTGATGATTAGAAAGAGAACAATTGATTTTAAATGTGTTAGATATTGTTTAGATATTATTTGATATTGTTAAGATATTGTTAGATATTGTTAACCACAATATCAAACAATATCTTCTGTTTATTCTATTACTTTCAGTTACTCTTTTAGTTGTATCTCTCTACTATAAATAGACTACCCTATGTGTGATTTATACACAAGGAAGATTAATCTCAAATTCTATTTCTTCTATATTCAACAAAATGCTTGCAAAAAAAAAAAAACAAATAAAAGAAAGGAAAAAAGAGAAGTGCATGAAAAAAAAGTGAAAAAAAGTGTTGTAGCATCTATATCAACTGCATGCATCCACGTCTTTCATATTGACATTTATATCATTTGCATTCATTCAGTCATCCTTTCCTCTCATGTATCCTTTCCTCTAAAATTGACATCTGCATGCATCCATGCATCATAGTCTCTCACATTAGCATCTACATCAACTACATGGTTTCATGCATTCTTACATCTCGTATTGACATTTACATCAATCGCAAGCATCCACACTTCCTTACACCTCTCATTTGCATCTACATCAATTGTATGCATCCATGCGTCCTTATCTCTTACATTTTCATTTGCAAAATCCAACTTCCGACTAACACCTGCATTCAAAGCCTAGTTTCTAATTGGTACATGCATTTAAAACTCAGTTTCCGACTAGTACTGCATATAAAGCCCATCTTCCGATTAATGTTCGCACTCAAAGTGCAACTTTCGAATGACATTTTCATACAAAGCCCAACTTTTAACTAACACTTGCATTCAAAATCCAGTTTTTGATTGACACTTGCATTCAAAACCCAGCTTCCGACTGATACCTACATTTGAAGCCCAACTTCTGACTGGAACTCGCATTCAAATCCAAGCTATTGATTGACATTTGCATTTAAAGTTCAGTTTCCATCTGACACTTGCATATAAAGCCCAACTTCCGACTGATAATTGGAATCAAAGTCTAACTTTTGACTGACACCTGCATACTGCTTCCAATTGACACCTACCTCTAATTGATGTTGGGCTGTCTACTATAGCTACAATCCAATTCACCACAATAAAAAAATCTCTGCCTATTACACTTACCAAGCGTCACTTTCTACTCTCTCAGTTATCTCTCTCTTCAATCGTATCCCGTCCTCTCTTTCTCTCAAACACACTCGAACCCTATCTTCTCCTCTCTGCTTCACCTCTTTTCCTCTTCACCAATCACTCTTCTCTGCTACAACAATGATGAATCACCTCTCTACTTTCACTTTCACCGATTAATTTTCTTTCTATTTCACTAATTGTGGTTTTCCTTTATTTAGCAGGTGTTCCTGTCAACGTACAACAAGAAGAACAAAGGAACACGTTTTATCAAGAAGGAAAAGATAAGTATACTTGAAAACAAGAAGAACAAAGGAACACGTTTTAGCAGGTCCATTATTCTCATATTTTTCCTAGGCCACTGTTTCTTTGTTTTTGCCACCATTTCTGCCTCCAAATCTGCCTTTGGACCTTCCTCTATCTCTGCCTCTCCAGCCACTTCTGCCTCTGCCTCCATAACTCATTTTGGCCTGTAGAGTCTATTCAGTCACCTTCTGATGTGAACATGACCTATGATAAGGACTAGAGCAAGGAAAACAAAGGAAGCTCTTCAACAAGTATTGTTGGTTGGCCAAATTGTGTTTTGGATTAATCAATTAATGAACTTTAGTTTGATTTTGTTTTAAGTTGTAATAAGGGCCTAATTGAAAATTTAGTCATCAGCCTTTGGGAGACCAAGGGGTGCATAACTGATTGACTTTTGGTTGCCACAGTTTCAGATACAGTCAGTCATTAAGTAGTTTCAATTCTTAGGTTAATGGATCATTATTAGCCTTTATTTGTTTCCATTAAATAGTTTTCAATTCCTAGATTAATGGGTTATTATTATTATTTATTTTCTTTTATTGAGTCTTTTGTAATTCTGATGTCAACGCTTCTATATCAGCTGAACCATTTTTATCAGAAATAATAAGTTGAGTTTTATTTTTAGAAATATTAGAGTTTATCTCTTTTATCTTAGTGAGAGTGATTCTCCTAAGTTCTTGAGTGATTCACAAATATTTAGCTGTATAAAAGGACTTTCACATCCTTTGTGTGTTGCCTCCCTTGGGAAGAGTGATTCTTTCTTTTCACCTTCTTTCTAATTCCTAAATTTCTTACAAAGTTCTAACCCTAAAGATCCTAAATCACCCCTTGTGATTCATATCACCTTCTTGTCATTCTTTCTTTCATTCACTCTCTATTCGTGTGCTTCAAGAGAGTTTTGTAGTTCTTCTAGTGCCATAACATCAAGATCCCTGGACTCTTCTATGGCCACCACAATGTGGTCAAACCGTGGGGTTAAAGTCCTCAAAACTTTCTCTATAATTCTGCAGTCTTTTATGTTCTCATCACACACTCTCATGGCATTGGCGATCACCTGCAATCTGCCAAAATACTCTGTCACAATCTCCTTTTCTGTCATAGAGAGGAGTTCTTACTGCCTTCTCAAGGATTGCAGTTTCACCTTCTTTATTTTCCCAGAATTTCCATACCCATTTTGCAAAATCTCCCAAATCTCATTTGTTGTGACAACTTTTGAGATGCAGCACATTCATTTTGAGATGCAAAATCTCCCAAACCTCCATCTTGCAACACATTGATGCAGCAATACACGAGCTTTACAATCCAGCTTCTTTATCTCCTTGTATGTCTTCTTGGCTCCTTCATCCGCATTCTTGGGTGGTTCTTTGAAACCCACTATCACGATCTCATCAATTTTTTGAAATCCAAGATTGACCTCCATTTTTACACACCAATCATCATAGCCATTTTCATCAAATATGGGTAAGCTTCCTGGGATCAAACCACCACTAGCCATGAGTAGAACACGCAGCAGTACTTTCAAGATTCCCTTTCTTGAACCTTACTCTTACCACTTGTTGGGTTGTCTACTATAGCTACAACCCAATTCACCACAATAAAAAGAATCTTTGTCTATTACACCTATCAAGCGTCACTTTCTGCTCTCTCAGTTCTCTCTCTTCAATCTTATCTCGTCCTCTCTTTCTCTTGAACACACTCGAACCCTATCTTCTCCTCTCTACTTCATCTCTTTTCCATTTCACCAATCAATGGAGGTGCGATTCAGGGGATATGGATGGACAGACCACATCCCCTTCCCAAAATTCATTTTTATTGTATATATAATAATTAATTTTTTAAAGAAAATTTAACTCTTTTTTTTCCTTTTCTTATTATATTTTTATCTTTTCTGAAATAATAATAATAATATTATAATAAATTCCCTCTCGAATTTCTACTTTACATTTTTTCATTTATCCCAGTTTAATTTTCTATATTATAAACTCACCGTTTTTATATTTATATTTCTTTATTACTAATTTATTTTTATATTATTCTTTTTAAAATTTTATTTTATAACTCAAAAATAATAAGTTATATTTTTATATATTACTAATTTATTTTTATATTATTCTTTTTAAAACCCATTATTTTTATATCATTACTTTTTCAAATTTTTTTTATAAAATACAAATTATATATTTTTGCTTTTAAAAAAAATAAAGAACATACCTAGATGTTTTTTTTAAGTGAAAAATAAAATAAGTAATTACTCTTTTTTTAAATTTATTTTCAATTAGTTAATTTTTTAATATTTTATTATGTTTTATTTTAATATCAAAATATGAAAAAATAATTAACTAAACCTGAATACTTTGATTCGTGAACTTCCAAAATGCTTAGGTACTTGAGACACACAACAACCTACATTCCACTGAGTTTTCCTCCCATTATTTTAAGCCCTTTGCACCCCCGGGCTGCTTGCTAGGCTTCAGCCACTCTGCAACTTTTCCATTTTCCCCAACAACTGAGTCATCTCTTTTTCTCTCATGGAAAACTCTCCTCGCTGTCATCACTTGCTTCAGCATTTTGTTTGTTCCATCGACATTCTCAAAATACAAACAAAGATGCTGGTCGTTTTCTAGGAGATTGATGGAAAAAAGGGTATGTACCGGGTTTGGCTAGCAATTTATTTATTTTCTCCACTCAATTATTTTCAACACCATCTCCACTGAAATATGAAAAGTTTTGTTGCTCAAAAAGTTTAGGAAAAAACATCAGAACATTGCTTAAAAAATTTAGCTATCTTCCGAGGCATTGACTACAAGATCTTCTTATTTCACAATATATTATTAATTGCCTTTTTTTCCTAATTTGGGAAGGTAGTTTGAGAAATAGGTAGAATATTTGCAGGGTTTGTATCCAATGTAACCATAATCATCGGTTGAAAATGTTGTTTGGCAACAGAAGCATTGGACCCGGTCATTTTATGGTGCAGAATTGTTAAATCCTTAGAAACAATCACTTCATGAAAGGTCCACCTTGTTTCTTGGAACTTTTGTGGACAATATAAATAATAACGCTTCCTCTGCTTTTTCTCTCACTCTGATTCTGCGTCCTGTTTCCGCTTTCTGTTTCTCAATCAACGCTCCAATCCAAGCAACGGCGATGGCAGAGCCACAATCCAGGCCCGAAACTGCCCCTGATCAGGCTTTGGTTGTGGTTGAGCTGCCATCGCAGGATGCCGTTGCAGCGGAAGCATCTGGAGCAGACGAGGCCAAGGCTATCGTTGTACTAGCACCCGCGAGTGAGTTTTGCGTTGCCCGTGTCCATGTGAATGAGATGGTTTTCAAGGGAGAAAATTCGAGGGGTTTTGTCAAAATCTGTTTCTGAATGTAGCTTTATTGAATTGTGAAGTTAGTTGGTGTAACAGTTGTTGATAAGAAAATGCGTGATGCTTGAATTTAACATTTTAGGAAACACACTCAGCTGGTGCTTTAGTTGCACCTAGTTAACTTTTCAACCTTAATATTATTCCTAAGGTTTATTCATAAGTTTAATTAATTCTATGATGGTTAGAAAATTTATTTGATGTAATTTTCTTGGTTCAACAGACACAGAAATTCCCGAAAACAAACCAAGTTCGAGAGGCTCTATTGATAGAGGTTAGTGCTGACATTTCTGATTTCAATTTACACTGTAACAATAATAATAATATTTTGTGCTCATTTAAATATTATGAATGCATAAAATTCAACTTTAGACCATTTATTTAAGGACACAAGTGCCTACTCCCTATGTCAATATTGGTGGTAATTTGAATATTTGATCGTCATTAAATATTCATATATCCTATTAATCTCATGATCACCTTAATTAGTATATTCAACACTATGTCTTCCTTAGTAATATCGACATGTGCCATTACTCACAATTTTGTAATGTCGCTAAAAAACTATTGTGTAAAGATGCTGATTCACCAATCACCTTTTTCTGGACCACGTATGTATTAATTTCTAAGCTATTCACTTGTGTCATGAACAGATATCGCCCTGGCACAAGTAGCCAAGGAGAAACAGATGTCCTATGTGAAGGCATGGGAAGAAAGTGAAAAGGCCAAAGCAGATAACAGGTACGACTTTTATGTACTTTAACAGTTTATGATGAATCTTCTTTTTGAAAGTTGAAACCAAGTGTGTGTTTAGAAACTCATTGTGCTACAAAATGAAAAAGTTACGACATTTAGTTCAAGCTAGTAAGTTAAAATGGATTTGTAGTGGAGTAATCTATATTTATAATTTTTATATGTCAATTATGATTTTGTGTTCAGTAGACCATGATTATGATATAGTATACCATTTGATACCCCCTCTAACAAATTTCCAAAACACACTCATCTAAACTTGAGAAACCATTTGATCTGTTAACAGAGCTAATAAACATCTCTCAGAGGTAGCTGCTTGGGAAGAAAAAAGGAGGCAGCTCTTGAAGCTGAGTTGAAAAAATTAGAGGTAATACATCATTTACCTGTTGAGTATTTATTTTAATGTGATGATATTTTCTATATGGATACATGTTATGTAATAACATAACTTTTTGTAAGGATTTTTTCTGTCTTTATAAAATGGTTTAGGACAAATTTTACTGTGAAAAGTAAGTGAATGAAGTAGACCCAAAAGAACATGGAAGTAGGTATGGTACTTTTGCTGAAAAACATAAGTTTTAACAACTTGTTGTTTGAGTAGGAAAAACTGGAGAAAAAGAAAGCAAAATGTGTTGAAAAGATGAAAAACAAGATGGCTTTAGTTCACAAGAAAGCAGAGGAGAAGAGGGCAGTGATTGAATCCAAGCGTGGTGAAGAGGTTCTCAAGGCAGAGGAATCTGCAGCAAAATACCGTGCAACAGGAACCACTCCAAAGAAGAGCATGGGCTGCTGTGGAATGGCCTAATGTTATTTGTAATAGCCAATTTTGTCTCTATTTTCGCCTCTCTTTTTACTAGTTTAGTCTATGTGCATTGATTGTTTCAAAGAAGAAACACAATTTTGTACATGCCTCTTGTTTTGATCATCTTGTTTGGGGTGTAGAGTTGAATGTAATAGTATTTTTCTCCAAGAGAACTAAACTACTCTTGCCATCAAGTAAAGTAATTTCAGTTTCTATCATTCATTCTTTTCTATCTCTTGCACGCAAATTCAACATAAATTATGTTTGAAGAAAGGAAGTAAAGAATGAGTCAAAAGTTAAAAGGTTAACAAGTAAACTTAGCAACTATTTTTATTATTATTTTTTTCACTGTATTTTATTGCTAATTAATATGATTACAATATCTTCAGCTATAATATTAAAATAATAGAATAAATATTGTAAAAAAAGTTAATATAACACATATTAAAAAAGTAATATATGAAATAAAATTTTAATTAATTATTTTGGCTTCTTCAAGTTATTTTTTTGGGATTTTAATGTTATTTAAATTTCAAATGTAAACTCATTATTCTTGTTATTTTATTTCTAAATGTAATATCGTAAATATTGCTAACAATTATTTTCAAATGAAATTTAAAATAAAATACTACTGTATTTTAGGTTTTTTAAATAAAATTTTCTATTTAAATTAATTTTATAAAATAAAAAATTTAATATTTTTGTCTATTTTTATATTTATTTAATTTTTTTTACTACACGAGTCTAATTTATTAAAAAAAAATACATATTCATAGTTTAATTAATCCAATTTGACGTATATCATCAATCCAAAACGCCAGCTTTATATATATATATATATATATATATATATATATATATATATATATATATATCCTTTCTATAAATTATAAATATTAATATATATATTATTTAAATATTAAAATAGATTAAGTTTTTATAGAATAATTATTATAAATATTGGTATTTAATATAATTAAAATATATTTTTTTATATTTTATATTATATAATATTTCATTAAATTTTAATCATTACTATAAAAAAAATTATTAATTTAATGTTAGGTGACATATAACTAAGATATGTGACTTTTTAAGTGTCATAAGAGCATTTTTTTTATATAGATTATTATTATTATTATTATTATTATTATTATTATTATTATTATTATTATTATTATTATTAGTTCATGGAATTGGTTCTGTCGAACGACTAATACCATCCATTTAAATTTTTTATCATTCTACAACGAATTCTTCAATAACTTTGTAGGAGTCAAAATTGTTGACTAATTTGGTATCTAGTCATGCTCCCAATTCAATCAATCGGGCTCTCCATTGGTCGGCGGAAAATCATCAATACTAAATAGTGAATGAGGGTCCACCATTTGTCGTTGGTGACGCATTTGTCCTTGTGGGTCCAGAGTCAATTTCTTCATTGGGATACGAATCAGGTGGTCTTTAGAATAAGCTGACGATGTTGGGGTCCACTGACTTGTGATGATAATGGTTTACTTCACGGAGGTGATGCACCAGGTTGTGCATGATAACTTTCTTAAGGTTGATATGTGTGAAATAAAAATAAATTTTAAAGAGTTGATAAACGTGTCATTACTAACATTCAATTTCATCGCTGGATAATTAAAGTAAAATAATTTAATAAAAATAAAATATATTTAAAAAAGGTGCTTATTTAATTTAATAAAAATAAAAAAAATATTTTTTTAAATATAATATTTATTAATAAAATAAAAGTATCTAACTTCTCAATTTCTCTTGCAAATATCCATGTTTTTATCATGTAAATCAACAGTTTTACTCACTTTTTCATATATATATATGAAAAATAAGAAAGGAATAAAATAAAAATTATACAAACATTTACAAATTTTGAGGTTTCGCATCAAGAAAACGAGAAGTGACTTAGGTATTTTTCTCTATAAAGACATCATGTCCACTATGATAATATTGTTAAAGGTTAATTTCTATGTTCGATATATTGTCTGCCTTAGAGCTCTCGTATATCACGGTTTTGTCCTTAAAATACGTCTTAGTCTGTTAAGGAGGAGGGTTGTTTATAAATTACCATTAACCTAAACTCTTAAGTAATGTGAGACTTATGAGCATATCGGAACACTTTTTTACTGTTATTTTTATTTTTATTTTATTTTATTTTAAATAACTAAATTTGAGACACGAGTAAAACTAGTACGCATCAACATTTGTCTTGTTTATCATAAAATTACTTTTATATGTATGATCACGTGCATTGTTATTTGGGATAAAATTACTTTGATAGATAAGATAATGATGAGCAAGTTTATCCAATATAGTCATTCACCTCGTTTTATACTTTGTAGCTCTATTTAAAAGAAATATATATATATATATATATATATATATATATATATATATATATATATATATATATCTTCTTTAAAATATATATATACCAAAAATATCAAAATTTTAATCTAACATATAATTTTTTGTTAAAAAGAACTACGTAACCATGATCTTTCCTTCTCAATAGAAATACATAAGAGTAAGGTCTATTCTTGTTGGACCCAAATAAATAATTTTCAAAAATATATTTTCTTTTCTTTGCTCTTTTTTCTTTATTTCTTTACCTAATATTAGGACAAACAAATATGTTAAAATTTACATTTAATTAAGGGTAACCGTCCTATTACTGGACGTTATAGGGTATTAATAACTTCCTTACACGTAATCGAATTTCGAACCCAAATACGATTTTGAAGACCATGTCCTTTTAAAAGGTTTTTTAATAAATATATTATTTAAATATTAAAATAGATTATGTTTTTATAGAATAATTATTATAAATATTGGTATTTAATATAATTAAAATATATTTATTTAATCTTTTATATTATATAATATTTCATTAAATTTTAATCATTACTATAAAAAAATTATTAATTTAATGTTAGGTGACATATAAGTAAGATTATCATAATAGAATTTTTTTATATATAGATTATGTTTATTATTATTATTATTTAAGGTTAATATGTGTGAAATAAAAATAATTTTTTAAAGAGTTGATAAACGTGTCATTACTAACATTCAATTTCATCTTCGGATAATTAAAGTAAAATAATTTAATAAAAATAAAATATATTAAGAAAAAGGTGCTTATTTAATTTAAGAAAATTAAAAACAAAAATAAAAAGAAAATATATTTTTTAAATATAATATTTATTAATAAAATAAAAATATCTAACTTCTCAAGTTCTCTTGCAACTATCCATGTTTTTAATCATGTAACTCAATAGTTCTACTCACTTTTTCATATATATATATATATATATATATATATATATATATATATATATATATATATATATATATATATATATATATATATATATATATATATATATATATATAATTCTTTTTAATTTTTTCAAACCCATTATCTTCTTATGTTTTCTTCATCATACTCTTTATACAAGGAACTACAAAAGGAAAACGAGAAGTGACTTAGGTATTTTTCTCCATAAAATATATATTGTCCGCTTTAGAGCTTTAGTTTGTCACGGTTGTGTCCTTCAAATACGTCTTAGTAGATTAAAGAGGAGAATTGTATATAAATTACCATTGACATCGACTATTAAGCAATGTGAGACTTATGAGCATATCGGAACACTTTTTTTATTGTTATTTTTATTTTATTTTAAATAACTAAATTTAAGACACGAGTAAGACTATACGCGTCAACATGTGTCTTGTTTATCATAAAATTACTTTGATATGTATGATCATGTGCATCGTTATTTGGGATAAAATTACTTTGATAGATAAGATAATGATGAGCAAGTTTATCCAATATAGTCATTCACCTCGTTTTATACTTTGTAGCTCTTTAAAAAAAAGAAATATATATATATATATATCTTTGAAAACATACCAAAAATATTAAAACTTTAATCTAACATATAATTTTTTTCTAGAGAGAACTACGTAGTCATGATCTTTCATTCTCAATAGAAATACATAAGAGTAAGGCATATTCTTGTTGGACCCAAATAAATAATTTTCAAAAATATGTTTTCTTTTCTTTAATCTTTTTCTTTATTTCTTTGCCTAATATTAGGGAAAACAAATATGTTAAAATTTACATTTAATTTTCACATTTAATTAAGGGTAATTGTCATATTACGGGCGTTGTAGGGTATTAATACCTTCCCTACACGTAATCGAATTTCGAACCCAAATACGATTTTGAAGACTATGTCCTTTTAAAAGATTTGTTATAGTTTTCTTTAATATACTATGGTGGAAACTCCATTTTTAAAAGTTTATATTTTTTTAAGCTACTCCGTCGTGACTCTGGTTGCAACAGATAACAACTCAACTAGGGATAAAGTTAGAGAGTCAAGTATGATTAGCTGAATGTGCAAAATGTATTTTATTTTTATATATCCGTGTCCCCCTATTTTTTTTTCTTACATATTTGTCCATGTTGCTGATAATAAAAAAATTGTTGAACCACTGAAGCCTAGAGTAGAGGATAACTATTATATCTTCCTGAGACTTTTCTGATTGTTTTGTAGGTGAAGGGTTTGGGTATGCATCATGTACTCCCTTCACGCACACACTTTTGTTTCCATATTGAGTAGGATACTATACTCGGGTCTAAGTGAACTTAGAAATAAAAGGGTTGTGTAACAATGTCATTTGGGATGTACTTCATGTTTGATTATTGTGAGAACCCCAACTAAAATTGTTCTCTTCATTTGTATTCCCACCTTTGGTTGATTTCTAATTATGGGAAATACTGTGAAGTGAGACATAACTCTAGTGGTCTTTTACTCTTAAGATTAGGAACCCCACTTTGTGTGTATGCATGAGTTGACCTAGATCTTTAAGCTATTCTATAAACCATGGTTAAGGCACAAAGGGAGAATTCTTCATTCTTATACCTCTTACTTTTGCTTTTACATAATAATAAGTGTATCTCATTTACATTGTTTACA